GGTGGCCATAGCAGAGCTTCACAGAGGACAGCAGGTGGATGAGGGAACAACCCCAGAACAATGTTAAATCAATATCAGGCAATTCTATTGAATCATTCTGATATTGATGTAATGTCACTTTTTCACCCTCTGTTAATGTTGAAACGATGTTAGAGTCTGATACTGAATCACTGAACTCTGATGTTGATTTTCCATCACTTTGCACCCTTAGTTACTATTGAAACAATAAAATCATGATTAAAAACAGTACTTAATAGGCATTTCTATCAATACTAAACTGCTGCAAATTACCAGCAATACTTAAACCTGCAAAAAAGACAATTGTGTCTGATCCACAAACAGGAAACCCATTATATGCAAAAAAAAGAAAAAGAAAGAAAAGAAAATACATCTCTGATTCAATAACAAAGTAATTTATTATATTTTTTAAAAGTTGTGTTACATGTATTGGTTAAGTTTACTCGGGGATCGGGCTGAATATCGACTATCCTGCACCACCCATCTGATCTGGAGCGTAGCGGAGACATTTCTGCTCTGCTTGGGTGAAGGCAAACTCAGAAACAGCGTTTACCCCCACGTGCTGAGTCAGGCCATCTAGGACACAAACAAACAGAAAAAGAAGAAAAAAAGGCCAAATTAGAGCTTAAATATGAATAACCTCTTGTCAGTTGTCTTCAGCAGGGAGAAAGCATCTAAACTACTCGGCTGATTAATATGAAAGTCACAAGGCAGAAATCAGCAAACTGCTGCCTCACTTTGATTCCCAAACATTAGCTGAAAAGCTCAAAGCCTAATTTTCTAGAGGTAAAAAAAATAAAATAAACCAAACTATTTGCATTTCTATTCCTGTTTGTTGGATCTTCCAATGACAGCCTGCTGTTGTATATCCAAGCAGAACATACAGGACAAGGCCATTTTTAAGCAGTCTAAGGAGCTTGGAAAGAAAAGCGTCTGGACTTCTTTAAGTTGCTTGACGACATTTTTAAGCAGTTTAACCAAATTTGACAATTTCTAAACTTCAGGGTTACAAAAGTCACATAACCTTTAAGAACTGACCATTGCGTCATTTGCCTCCGGTCACTGCAGAGTTGTTCATCTCATCCATGTTGTGCAAAGGCTAATCCAGAGGCAGCAGCATCAACAGGTTCAGTGCTGCAGGATTAACGGAGGCTCTGAACTCCTCACCGAGCTCCCCGACTTCTCTGACCAGCTCTGTCACCATGAGTTTTTGGAAGGCTGCATCTGTTGAAAAGAACAACAACACAACAAATACTGGCTTGTGATAGACTGGATGAGCATTGTGATGAGAAAAACAACTATATCCATAAATGATGGCTTCACATTTTGCATTTAGGTTTAAGTAGTTCAATCTGTTAAAACTTTACAATTTAGCCTTTTAACATAAATGAAATCCTACGCAAAATGTCAAAGTACAACATTTTAGAACTTGCCTCAGAAATCTAAACAAGCAAAATATGATGACATTCAACAGCATAAATTAGGTTTTGAAGTTAAGATTACAATGAAATTGTGATGCAGCTCGTTGTTTCAAAGCAAACCGTTGTTAGAGAGGCACTGAACACAGACTATTTGCTGGGGAGGTCGCATAGCTGCTTAACTTCACCCCAAATTGAAAACCCCAGGTTTCCAGGTGCTGGGTTTGAGTCCTGCCTTTCCTGCCACACAGCTGAACCTTGGTGAAACCAGAACTGTGAGTGAGCCAGGCCAGGGTGGAGCTTGAAGCATTTGGTTGGCAAAAAAGGGCGATCAGCATGTAAGTATTAACACTGTAATCTTTTATGTTTATAT